TGCTGTCAGCCCTCTACCTCTTTTAAAATCCATTGCTTTATACCCTTTATCCATGTCTAACTTCTCTTTGTACCCTTTATCCACATCTACACTCTTCTCAGAAATTTGCATGTGCTTAATTTTCACTCCCCACTGTTTTTGTTGTTGTTGTTGTTGTTGTTGTTGTTTTGAGACGGAGTCTCTCTCTGTTACCAGGCTGGGGTCCAGTGGTGAGATCTCTGCTCACTGCAACCTCCGCTTCCCGGTTTCAAGCGATTCTCCTGCCTCAGCCTCCCTAGTAGCTGGTACTACAGGCGTGCGCCACCACTCCCAGCTAATTTTTGTATTTTTTTAATAGAAACGGGGTTTCACCATGTTGGCCAGGCTCGTCTCAGTCTCTTGAACTTGTGATCCACCTGCCTTGGTCTCCCAAAGTTGCTGGGATTACAGGCATGAACCATTGCACCTGGACTTAATTTCCCCCTTTTAAGGCAACTAGCAGTTTTATTCAGTAACTAAAACTTACCATGGGCTAGAGTGTAGGAGAAAAACTGGAATACAGAGTATCTAAGATGTCCAAAGGCTCAGTGCTCAATAATTCTTCTTGAGATGAACATCACAGTTTATTTCTACATTCAGCAGCCACAGCTACACGTAAGCCTTTTCCTGAACTGTCACTTCTTCCTGGGATACACCCTCTTTATCTTTATTCCTTAGGAGCAGCCCACATTCACACTCTAAGGCGGTACCGTCCAGTGGAACATTGACATCATTGCAGGAGGTTCTACCTCTACACAGTCCAGTATGGTACCCACTAACCACATATGGCCAATGCAGTTTTAAAATTTTAACTAATTGTAATTTAAGCTTAAAAAGTAACACTTCATTCCATTATTGGGACAATTTGGCAGGTGAATCTATTTTTTTCATGATGCATTTTAATCTATTTACAGATAAAATATTTTTTACTGAAAAGGCACCGTCCACACTGAGATGTATTTCAAAAACTTATCATACAAACACAAAAGCAATGGAAAATGTCTCCTTAATAATCTTTGTATTGATTTCATTTAGAAATAAATCCCTTGTGTTTCTTTTCACTTTTTTTTTAACGTGGCTGCCAGAAAAAAATTATTTATATGGCTCATATTGTATTTTTATCAGATGGTGCTAATCCAAATATGGCCCATTTCTGATACAGTCTGCTCTGTGGGATTATTTTTTTGAGATAGAGTCTTTCTCTATCACCCAGACTGGAATGCAGTGGCACGATCTCTGCTCACTGCTACCTCTGCCTCCTGGGTTCAAGAGATTCTCATGCCTCAGCCTCCCAAATAGCTAGGATTACGGGTATGCACCACCATGCCTGGCTAACTTTTGTACTTTTGGTAGAGATGAGGGTTCACCGTATTGGTCAGGCTGGTCTCAAACTCCTGGCCTCGAGTGATCCACCTGCCTCGGCCTCCCAAAGTGCTGGGATTACAGGTGTGACCCACTGAGCCTGGCCCGTGGAATTTTACTTGATCTCTTTTATACATTGTTTATACCTCTTTGATAGCACTTAACACATTTTGAGAAACAGTGTCCTTCCCTACCTTCCCAGTAACTGTAATTCGTCAAATGTAGTGGCCCAGGACAGGGGCTAACACACAGTAGCAACTCAAATATTCTTTGAGTTGAATTCTAGCCATATATATGGCTGATTACATAGACATTTCACTCATTCACTGCTTACTGATTAATTAAAGTGATCATAGCCTGGTTTGTTGTTAGAATGGAATTAATAGACCATTATATGATCAGTCTGGATATTTCCAGTAAATTTTAATTTTCTAAAATGGTAATGAGGCCACCAGATAAATTGCTTGGCAGTCAACTATTATGTCAGGTCATATAAGCATTCTTAGTAGATTTTTTTTTTTTTTTTTGAGATGGAGTTTTGCTCTTGTTGCCCAGGCTGGAGTGCAGTGGCGTGATTTCAACTCACTGCAACCTCCACCTCCCGGGTTCAAGCAATTCTGCCTCAGCTTCCTGAGTAGCTGGGATTACAGGTGCCCAACACCACACCCAGTTAAGTTTTGTATTTTTAGTAGAGACGGGATTTCACCATGTTGGCCAGGCTGCTCTCGAACTCCTGACCTCAGGTGATCCACCTGCCTCGGTCTCCCAAAGTGCTGGGATTACAGGCGTGAGACACTGCGCCCAGCCAGTAGATTTTGATAGATTTGATGTTGATGGATTTTATGTGGCAATGGGGTGGGGGAAGAGAGAGAGAGAGAGTTGCGTGACTGTATTTCTGAATTTGCCTATGTATATGATGGTGTTTTAATTCCAATTAAATTAAAACACTCAAAACTTTTATCTTCATTCACAACTGAACACAGTCACTTCTAACTTATTTTTGCTAAGTCTAATAAAAGCTATGTTCACCATTTGGAAGTGTTGCCCTCCTGCAAATTTTAATTAATGATAAAACATAATCGGGTGGTTTTGGCTCTTTGCCAAATACATATATATGCAAAACTTCCCTCCATGATCTATGTCCCGCAAATAAAGGCATCTGAGCCCAAGGAGGAAGCAATATTTTTAACCCTGAGTTTATCACCCTTTCGGTTCTCCATTTTAAAGGTTCCTAGAGCTTTATTGTTATTATGAACATTTGGCCTTAGACTGAATTTATATTTAATTATTTGTGAACATTCAAGGACCTGGCATTTCAGCTTGAATTAGCATCCAGACTTAGGGTTGTTGAAGAATTTTCAAATTGGACTAGAATCTTCAATACCTAATGAATGTCTGGATCTAAGCCAAACATGGCTATCACTACTGTTCTGCTTAGTTTTTACAATAGCCCTATAAAGTAGGCAACTCATTTCTGAGATGAGAAAGTCAAAATTAAGAGAGATTAAGTAGCTTGCCCAGGGTAACCCTCTTAAAGAATGGCAATGCTGAGACCCATATCCAAGACTCTTCAATGCCACATCAGTGATCTGTCCACCACAGAGTGTGTGAATGTTTCAAGTCTCCATGGGTCTTTGCTGTTTGCATAGCACACTCACACAAATGGTCATTTGACTCTCATATGTACCCTCAGAAATCAATATTATGTCCCCATTGTACAGTGGAGGCTCTGAACTGAGCATGACCAAGGCTCAGAAGCATCTTGCAAAACAGTCTATTTGTGGTACAAATTGAATTGCCTTTCTGTGTCACCACCTACAATTGCACCAGCGATCTGGATGGATTTCAAAATAGCACATGGCATGAGTTAAGCCACTGTGGAAAACAGTGTGGAGATTCCTGAAAGAACTAAAACTGGAACTACCATTTGATCCAGCAATCCCACTACTGGATATCTACCCAGAGGAAAAGAAAAGAAAAAGATACTTGCACATGCATGTTTATAGCAGCACAATTTACGATTGCAAAATCATGTAACCAACCCAAATGCCCATCGATCCACAAGTGGATAAAGAAGCTGTGATATATATATACACACACATATATGTGTGTGTGTGTGTGTGTGGGTGTGTGTGTGTGTGATGGAATACTACTCAGCCGTAAAAAGGAATGAATGACATTTGCAGCAACCTGGATGAGATTGGAGACTATTATTCTAAGTGAAGTAACTCAGGAATGGAAAACCAAACATCTTATGTCCCCACTGACATGTGGGAGCTAAGCTATGAGGATGCAAAAGCATAGGAATGATACACTGGATTTTGGGGACTGGGAGGAAAGGTTGGGAGAGGGGAGAGGGATAAAAGACTGCAAACAGGGTGCAGTGTATACTGCTTGGGTGACGGATGCACCAAAATCTCACAGATCACCATTAAAGAACTTACTCATGTAACCAAACACCACCTGTACCCCAACAACCTATAGAAATTTTTTTTAAAAAAGAAATAGACTTCACTGGAGGAAGGAGAAACATACAAGCCAGGGTGAGCCAAGGATGGGAAGCATAGCTCGCCATCCCCCTCATCCCACAGGGAGGTCTGCCGGGGAGAAACTCTGCTCCCATAGCTGTTCCGTCTCTGCTGGACAGCTTCAGGACAATCTTGTTAGTGGACAGATGATCAAACTCCAGGGATGTCCAGCAGTCTGAATGCAGGTACCCAGATTCGTAGGAGTTGTCTGAAATTCCAGAGTTCAAAGTCAGGTGCTTTGGGCAGGGGTGTGCTGGAAAACTAGCTGTGAGAGGCTGGAAGCCTTGAGTTGGGGTGTTTGCAGCTACTTTGGCATAAATTCTCCCACAGTGGCCAATTTCAGGCTAGCAACTTACAAAATCTCTGAATGTTTAACAATGAACTTCCATGAAGGAGTAGGGTTGACTTCAGCACGGCACTGTCCTTGGGACTCAGGGACCGTGACACTGGAAGGGGTCAAGGGGCCCACAGGTCCCAGGGGAGCTACGCTTGAGTGAAGCCCTCCATTGTGGACAAGTGGCTTCCACACCCATCTGTTCACCCCGGGTTGCAGCTGGTCTCCTGCCCAGTTGAGCAGTGAGAGTCATATTTTGACAACTCTGCCTGTTGCAGGCATTAAGCAACTTGTTCAAGGTCACGCAGCAAGTGCAACGTAAAAGCTGAGCTTGCACGCTTGCCCTTTCAGCTCCACCACACTTCTCCTTGGCACGGAAAAATCCAAGTCACTCTCCTGAAGCTGGCAGATTCTGCAGCAATTGTCCCAATTCCACCTGGAAAATGAGGAAGGTGGTGATAAAATTCTCTGTGAAGTGAGGAGAAATGAGGCTAACCTCGCCAACATTTATTTGATGTGAGTGTTTGCGCGCTGAGTTAAGGCCGGAGGTCGTGTCTTCGTTTAACAAATAGACCACATGTTGACAAGCAAAAAATGGCTTTCTTTGTCTGGCAAGAAAAGCTCACTTCAGACAACACATTTTTTTGTTGGTATCTCCGCTGACAACCCTGTTCAAAGAGAGCCACAAGGAATGTAAGTGAAAGCAGAAAAAGCCAACTTTGGTGTAATTAAGAGATATCACTGCCCGTTTTTCTCAGTGATGAGGCGGCAGCTGACTCAGTCGATAAGGGCCGTGAAGGAGCGGAGCCTAGGGCACAGTGGAGATGGACTGGCCTTTTCACGGTCCAATTACTTGTCCAAGTTTTGAAGAGGACTGAAGTAGAACTGGATGGAGATGGGAAACAGGCCAATAAAGGGTTTTTTGTTTTGTTTTGTTTTGTTTTAAGAGAGGAAGGAATGAATGAAGAAGCTCTTTTACTTTCTTTTTCCAGCTTAGAGCTAGCTCTGCTTCCCAAATAGGATGCTGGGGGAAAGACGTGATGTGAGTGTGGGTAGCTGGGAACAGTACCTCCTGGGTATCTGCGCTAGGCCCACTTCTGCAACCAGTAATGGAGGAGACAGAAGAATGCTTGATTGTAGGTTTAAACGTTCCCATCGGTGAGTGTTGCATTAAAGATGTTGCTGTCTTCTGTTGCATCAGTTGGTTTGGAACAAGTGATGAAGAAGGAGCTTCAGTTGATGCCTCTTGAGCAGGCAAACACCCTCCCTAGGCTGAAAATTGAGCCACATTAATTCAGAAATATTTACTGAGCAACTACTATGTGTCAAGCACTGCACTGGCTACTGCTTATGGATTCCCCCTAGAAGAATGCCCATCCTAGGAGAGGGGGCAGACCTGTAAACAGGCAGACAAGCACTGTGATGGGGTGCTGTGGGATCTTGGAAAAGTCAAGAAGGCAGAAGAAGTAATTCCAAAGAGGACTCCTGAAGGATGCCTAAGAGTAGGCAACGTGAAGCTGACATGGGAAGAAAGTGCTCTCCAGGCAGTGGGAAGAGCATGATCCAGTATCTAGGGGCAAGAGGAACGATGCTCTGTCCAGAGAGCAGAGAATAATTCAACGTGGCTGTGATGCAAGGAGGAAATTGTCACAAAGAAATTTGGAGAAATCATCAAAGGCTGGAAGAGGAAAAATCAGAAAAAACTACTGTAGGGAATTTGGACCTTTCTCTACAGATGACTAAGGGTTATACATTGGGGGATCACATGATCAGATCTGCATTTCAGGAAGATTAGTCCTGTTGCACTGGGTAACACCTGAAGGCTGAGAAAACCAGGAGCAGGGGTGACAAAGAGGGAGGCTGTGACAGAAACCCAGGTGGGTGATGAAGGGCTCCCGGGCAGGGGAGAGGCAGAAGGACTGGAGAGAGGGCACAGTTAAGGGCCACGGTGGGGGATACCAGGCAACACTGGCAAGCGAGTGGACAGTGATGAGTGAGGAGGTCGAAGAAGGTTCCCTCTTAGCTGGGACATTATGCCTCCACAGGAAGCTGAATAAAGTCACCCGTGAAGGTGTTACTTTGTGGGTAGGTAGACTGTAAAACTGAAGGATCTGTTTTATCCGTCTCCCCATAGTTTGCTCTGTGCTGAGGCTGCTGTACTGCTGCTCTTTGAAATAAAAGAGAACTCTTCCCAGAGGTAATGAATCCACCTGCATGCTGTATGTGATATGGAGGTGGGCGAACATGTTAGGTGGAGGGTTGTTCTTGGAGAGATGGATTCATTTTGCACCAGTGACAGGCTTGAGGGAACATCAGTGTGTCAGACATCTCTTCCCGGTGTCTTCCTGACTGATCCGTGCCTAGGGATTTTATTTTAGTTGTTCCTTGCTGTGGATTTGAAATTTTTTATTTTATTTTTTTTCTACCAGCTCAGAAATGTATAACAGCTGTGTTCACTGTTGGCCTTCTAGCCTCAAATTCATTTTAAATACATTTCTTCTTAGTAATTTCTTATTTGAATGCTGATGTTGGCTATGCATTAGTTTACACAATTCACAGGCTCTGTGTTGCTCAATTTTTAGTTCATTTATTTGACAACTTGAAATTCATCTCACAAGTGGTGCTTTTATTTTGTTATTTGCATCTGGAAATCAT